TATAATTTCATCATGAAGATCAATCCCAATTATATTATTAAACATTGTATTTCCAATTGCATAAATATTGTCTGTTAATAAATATAAATGAAGATTACTATGATTAATTATTTTTTTAAATAACCAAAGAATCCTTCTACTCTATTTGTTGTAAAATCTCGATACATTCCATATTTAATACATTCAGAAGGAATCCAATTTTCTTTGTGTTGAATTAAATCAATTAAACACATCAATCCTTTATTAATATTTATTCCTTTTGCTTCTTCTATTAATTGTTTAATATTATCTTGTAATGTATTAGTACCATCTATTGAATTTATAATATCACTTGTATCAGGTTCAAACAACTGATCATCATCATTTTCTTCTTCATTATTTTCTTTATCATCATAACAAGTATTTTCATCATCATCATCATTGTCTTCTTCAATATTTTTAATATTTTTCATTATAATACTTTTCAATGTTTCAATTAAATCATTTTCATTTAATTTCATATTCATTGTTAAATGAAATAATTTCATTATTATATGATCACTCTTAAAATATTTTATCAATGATCTTTCTATATGATTTCTACAGAAAAATAGTTTAGAATAAGGAAATATTTGTTTCAAAGCATTATATTGAGCAATACAACGATCACAAACAATGATTTCATGTCCATAATTTAAAATATTATAAAGTTGATGAAAAAATAGTTTATATGAAATTTCAGGTTGATCAAATAAATATCCAAATGAAAGAAGTTGGTTAAAAGAATTATCATCTTTTACAATAACAACATATAAATTTTTATTATATATATTTGTTTTAGTTGTATCATCAACATACCATTTTCTTTTACTATATTCCATTTGAGCCACTTTCTTATGAATGAACAATATCGAATGAATATAACCATTAGTGAAAGTATTTGTTAATTTAATAAATGAATCATTTTCAAAAAATGATTCTGAAAGAAATATATTTTCAAATATTTGATTTCTATCTTCTTCTCTCTGAATTTGTCTAAATTTTCTAAGAGGAATTTGAATATGAGGATGATTTACAAGAAATTTTATTATTTCATTATTAGTTTTTGGAATTAAAAGTTTCTCAAATTTTAACAAAGGACAAGTTTTTGATACAACAAAGAAATAATCTAATGGATGTTTATGTTCATTAATTTCTAATACACCATTTACTTTATCAAATCATAATGTTACAATTAATTTATATTCACAATCTCTTCCTTTACATGTTTCTTTTGTCTTTCCTGAATGATTACAATAGAATACAATTTTTATATTATTTTTATTTATTTTTGTAGATTTTGTATGAATAAGAAGAAATAAAATTATTATTAATTTCCTAAGAGTAGTAATAACATCATTTTTAACGTTGGGGTCATGAATTTTAATATCAATGTGAATATAATTCTTAAATATTTCAATTCTTTTTTCATATTCTATTTCTTTTGGAACCATCAATTCTGATTCAAACATTTCTTTTTGTATAATTCTTAATTTTACTTGTTCATACCAATTTATTGATTTACAAACATTCATCATCATTTCTATAATTCTTCTTAACAAACCATTTAATTTATTCAAATCAATAATTATTGATTCAATATTTTGTGAATATAATAATTTTGATGATAAAATAAGTATTTCATTCATAACATCATTGTTAATATAATCATTATAATGATTAATAATAACATTCATTGTTTCTTTAATTTCATTTTGAGCATCCTTCAAATTAATTTGATTAAAAACACATTTATTAATAATATTTGATAAATTTATTGATATATTCTCAAAAATTTATTCAACCATTCACAGATTTATAGATTTGAATTAAAAAAGATAATAAATAATACACATAAATAAAAATCATAAAAATAAAAAAGAAAAAAATAATTTATATCAATAAAATAATGTTAATTATTTTATATCAATAAATTAAACACTTTTTTATTGCATATTTCTAATTTCTACAATAAAGGAGTTCCGTTTGGAGTGTTTATCTCCTTCTCATGCTTCTTCTTTAATGAAATAATGTCATTTGATAATTTATTAATGGTCTGGTCCTTCTTTTGTATTTCTTCTTTTCTTCTTTCTCTTTAATAGCCTCCTCTATTCTTTTCTTTATTTCTTCTATTCTTTTATCTTTTTCATTGTTCTTTTCTTCTTCTTCTTTTGTTCTTTTTTTTTCATCTTCGGTCTTCCTCTTCTCCACAGTAAATTCATTTTCATCATTATTTTCATTATTGTATATTTATCATTTATTTCATTTTGATTTAGTTGTTTGTCATCTTCTATCATCATATTGAATATTTCTCCCATTCTATCATTTTTATTTTTTTCTCTTGCAAGTAAATACCATCTTCC